GGAATTCTGGGAGTCAAAGTCCACTCCTCTTAAAGTGGCCAAGGTTGAGAAACACTGCCATCATGGCTTGTTGCAGACCCTGTTAGAGAGGAATCCCAAGAGAGCTGAAACTTGACTGTTGCAGGAAATTTTGCTTTTTCTTCCCATGAACTGCCCAGAACCATTTCAAGAGGCAGAAGATTTAGTTTTGCAGAGCGTTAAACACTTGCTTTTTCTGACTGCAACCCGATCCTCTCTTTTTCCTCTCTGGCTTTCGTTTCGGAAAGGTGCTTGGCTGCTTGGACTGCCAGCTGGCGTCGTCCGGGTCCGGCTTTGATCCGTGATCTTCGGAGGAGAACCGCGTTTTTGCCTTTTGGCTGTCATCACCCCAAGGTACGAAGCACGGATGACTGACCCACGGTTTAGTAACTAGGATTTGTGGACAAGAGCGAAAGGTTCGCATGTTGCTTGCTGCTGTAATGGATCTTGTTGGAGGTAGGGCTTAATGCCTTTGGCAAACCCTGGTGGTGGGTAAACCATGGTTTATAGGTTAGGGTAATGTGTGAACCCCATCCGGGCCCATCTGCTACTCCAATAAGTTAAATCCTTGTTTAGGGAAAACATTTAAGCCAAACAGCTGTACTGTAGAGCATTGCCAGGCTTAATTTGCACATTGGGCTAAACCATGGTTTGTTTAAATATGAAGAAGCCACATTTGAGTGAGGGCCTCGTACGCCATAAACCACGTTTTATAAACCTCAGTACCTGGGTTCACTCGTAAAACCAGAAATGGTTTCATTTTGTGAATTTAATATTCATTTTGTGAATTTAATATTCATTTTGTGAATTTAATATTCATTTTGTGAATTTAATATGCATTCATCGATAAAACATCAATTTTGACTTGTAAACTGCCTTGAAATGTTTAAGGCGAAAAGGTGTATGGTATGCATGCTTTACATAAATAAAACCAAACCACAGTAGGATATTAGCTTGGTCTTTTGCTCCTGTGCCTAATCTGGCCACGATTTGAATGCTTGTTTGCTTAAAGGCCAGGTCATCTTTTCCCCCGTAACCCAAATCTTTCCTACAAATCTTTAAGGTGAGTCTCCATTCCTTGGATTTTTCCTAGCAACAATACACAAGTGGGCTTTGGGTTTTCCAGTCTAGCCTATTTCCTCAGGATTTCCGTGTGGCCTCCCATCCAAGAGTTAACCCAGTCTGATCCTGATCAGCTTTTTCAAGAAGCGCTAAAGTTGGCCAGGTACTGCCATCACAGGAATCAGAATCACCCCCCCACCACAAACATGTCTGAATACATTTCTTCACTCCAGCATCCTCTTTCTAACATCTTCATTCAAATACTGTATGCAAATTTTACATTCCCTGCAAGCAGAGAACTAGCACATCAGGAAATGCAACCTTCCTCCCCGATGCATTAGTTTCCTGCTTAGTGATCAGTGGCCTTTCTGCAGAAGTTCAGAAGGAACCCAAGGGAGACGAGAACGTTCTGCCCAGTTGTATTATTATTGTTATTATTATTATTTAATCTGCAATTAGATTCTCAGTCTAAGACTGGTAAAACCTCCTTCTCCTTCTCCTTCTCCTTCTTTCTGGAATACAAGAGTTAGATGAGTGGCCGTTTGCAAGAGAACAAACAGCTTTTATTTCATTTTTGTTTGCAAGTTCCATATCAGCTGATGCCGTGTTGAAACAATTTCTCCAACGTTTTCTTCCCTTTCAAAAGAGGTTCTCCTCTGTTGTGTGTGTGTGTGTCTGTTGGTGGCTGTTCCGGGCAGCCGGGGTGTTTTCTATGACTCCGGTTGGCGTTGTTTTCCTTTGCGGTCTTCCTGGTTCTCTTCGTTCCTCAATCTGTACAAAGAAGAAACCGGGCAACACCTGAGAGATTTCCTTGGAACTGAAGTGTGGGAAAGCAGGACTTGTGCAATGAAATAGGTGACATTTGCACAATCCCCGGGACCACGCCCAGAAGAGTTTTGCTGAATTTCTCTTCTCGGGAAAAATTTCTAACGCCTCTTTTTCACCCAAGAGACTGGCTGCTGGTAGGCAACTAAGTCTTCTTCTGCATGGCCCTCGGTTGGATAGGCATGCTTCTGAAAAAAGCAGCCAGAAAACCTGGTCGGGGGGGGTCCTTTTGGGGGGGTAAAGATAGGGCCTCCCCCAAACCGAGCTGAGCTCCTGAGGATTCTCTGGCGTTTTCCTTCGCTCTTCTTTTCATCTAGGGCGTTTTTTCTAACTTCCCCCAGCTCTTGCATCTCTGAGTGGTCTCCTTTCCAAGGATTAACCGGATCTGGTTTGCCCTTGGGGGATCAGCCACAGTTGCAAGGACGGGAAGAGCAATGAGCGGGATCTAGCTGGGACCTGTCAGCCTGCGGGATGGAGTTATTCAAGACTGATTCCATTTTTCTCTAGGAAAAAATGGCCAAGGCGATTCAAGCTCGGCGGCTCGAAGGCGTGGACCAGAATATCTGGTAGGCAGTTTCCAATTTGCTTGTTCAGGAAACGGATGGGTTGCGTTCAGGCCCTAAGCCAGTGTTTCTTAAAGGGGGGGGTCTGAGGATCTCCCCCAAGACCCCCTCAGGGGTCTGCAAACTCAAAATTATTTGCCCAATATGAAAGATATTAGCTAAAATTTGAAACCCTGTCCCTGTCCTCCTTGTCATTTTGTGTTTGTTAAAAAGTATAGTTTTTTCCCCATGAAAAAGTTTATTTATTTTAATACCAAATGGGTTTCAAGTTGTTGTTTTTCCACGGTTCAATAAATAAACATTCTACAAACGCGGCAATTTTCATTTTTAATACAGTCAATATCGATCAATGTAGCTCATACAAACAGGAGCTCTTTTGGAGTCCCCCATAATTTTTAAAAGTGGGAAGGGGTCCTGAGAGCAAAACGTTTAGGAAACGCTGCCCCAGATCATAATCCCCACTGACCCAGCCAGTTGTGTTTGCAAACCGAGATTGATGCCCAAACCAGCTAACCATAGTTAACTAACCGTGGCTTCTGTGTTGTGCGAATGCAGCCATTGGGTGAAAAGAAACTTGAATTCTGGGGAGGGCGCCTCAGATCTCCTTGGGCATAAGTGGGGGGTTGATTTGTCTGTGCGACATTGTGTAACTCGGTTTGTGATGCAAACCCAGCCCTTGTGGCTGATTCAGGCTTGAAGCCAACTGGATTCTTGCCGGAAAGCACCGTAACGGTAAACTCTGATGCAAAGCCCCAATTTTTTACACAGTTTTTCTCTCCTTAGGGTTGAATTCTCCCGACTAGCCGCTACTTACAAGACTGTGAATTTGGGTCAAGGTTTTCCCAATTTCTCCCCGCCGGATTTTGTCAAGGATGCCTACGTGGAGGCCATAAGTGGAGAAAACGCCACATTGCACCAATACACCCAGGCGTTTGTACGTGAAACATCTGTCTGTTTGGCACATATTGTGTGATGCAAAGATGGGGTAGCTTCGCTTCTAGCTGACCATCTGGGACAAATTTGGGCACTGGGATTTGTTTGCCAATTTTAAACGGTAGCTTACAAACGGCAAGTGAATCACCTACATTTGCCTCGGCTGAATTCATCCGGCCTCTTAATCTGAGATGCATAGCAAACTGAGGGTGCTGCTGGTCTGTGAACAAACCAGGGAACAACAACCTGACATTATGGATCTTTCTGAGCCTAAACCTGGTCATATTTCTCTGCCTGGTTCACACAACCAACTAAAGGCAACATATGCTAGCTTGTTTATGGTCTAAAGGGTTGAATGCACCGTGCAGTGTGGGGTTACGTGCTTCAGAGATCCCAGCCAAGATGATTTGCAAGGGAACCAGGGTTAACCTAACCGCGGCTTGCCCTGTTGCATGAGTACAGCCTCCCCCGGGTTCCAAAGTCTTGCCTGTCCGAACCGTCTTCCACGTGGTGGCTACCCTTTACGTAGATGAACCGACTGTCTGGTTCAAAAGGCAGTTTAGCCCTGGGTGTTGTGTGTCAGGCCATATGGTTAGTGCCTGCAAACCCAGACAACTGGGCTGGTTCGGCAAGCCACGGTTCAGCAACTCAGGGTTAAGCGAACACGGGCAAACAGTCGTGGAAAACCTGCTCAAAGTCTCCAAGCCTTAAGAGGCTTTCGGTCGAAACGGGACAAGGACGCCTGGTTGTTTTTGCTGAGCGCGATCTGATTTTCCACCAGGGTCACCCTCGGTTGGTGGAGGTCCTGGCCCGCTTTTTTGGGAAGCTGCTCCAGCGAGACCTGGACCCCCTGAAGAACGTGCTGGTGACAGTGGGCGCCTACCAAGCTCTCTTCTGCTGCTTCCAGGCCCTGGTGGATGAGGGGGACGAGGTGATTCACGGGGGGCAAAGTGGGGATCCGGGGTTGGATGGACTCCAGCTTGCACATTGAAGGACGAGTCTGAGCTCCTGTGTTTTGGGTCTGTTTAGCCGGGTTTACAATTTCTGGCCCCCCTCCAGGAGTGTATGGATTTCAACTCCCAGAATTCCCTTGCTATTGTTCATCCAGTGCTGGGCAATCTGGGAATGGCAGGATCCCTCCAGCTGTGTGAATATTAACTCCCAGAATTCCCCTGCCATTGTTTATCCAGTGCTGGGCATTCTGGGAATGGAAGGATCCCTCCCACTGTGCAAACAGCAGTTCCCAGAATTCCCTTGCCATTACTTATCCATTGCTGAGCATTCTGGGAGAAGGATCCCTCCAGCCATGCAAATATCACCTCCCCAGAATTCTCCAGCCATTCAGGCATGCTCGGGAATCCTGGGGGCTCACATGCACATATTTGGAAGGTGTCAGATTGGGAAAGTTTGAGCTGGAGCCGCGTGTTTTATAAATGGAATGATTTGGGTTTGTTCCTAAGGTCTGGGGGTGAAGGTGATGTTCAGGTCCGCAGAGAGGACTGGGACACAGAGCTCACGGGGGACTTTGGGTGATTACTACCTCTTAGCACAGCCTACCTTGCAGGGCTGTTGTTGCCAACATAAAATCCATGCTCCTTGGATCTCCTGAACAAAAGATGTGAGAAAAACTTGTTAATAAATCTGCAAATCGCTTTGCATGTCTAAACAGTCCCTGTGTAGGAGGACGGACCCCCGCCCAGCTGTGGGAGGGGCTGCTTTCAGTCATCAGCAAAATCCTCCGGGTGGGGCCTTCCAGCCTCACCTCCTCCCCATGGGCTTCCTTGAAGGTGGTGGAGGACAATGCTGGGTGTACGTGTGTGTGCCATTTTAATTTCCCAGCATTTCCTAATTGGACAACTTGGGGAGGTGTGGACTTCAACTCCCAGAATTCTTAGCAATGGCTGTATAAGCTGGGGAATTCTGGGAGTTGGAGTCCACCCATCTCAGAGTTGTCCAGGTTGGGAAATCCTGCCCTGGAAGGATGCTCTGGCGGAAGCCTGTTGAATGGAAATCGCAACTCACTAGAAGTGTTTGCAAGCAATGCCCAGCCTGGCTGAAGATACGGGGAGCTGATTCTGGCTCCCCAAGACCAGTTTGCTCCCACTGACTTCTTTGCCCCCAGCAGACATTTTCTGCTACACCCCTGAGCTCTGGATTCCCACCTTTGCCTTTTGGATCCTTTTCCACCAGCTGCATGCACTGAAAATTAGATTTATTTCCTAAATACCAAGCGCTACACGAGCCTTGCAAGCAGGATCTGAGCTTGGGAGCCTAAAAGCCATCTCCGTGTTAGAGTGCATATATCTGTGCAATAATGTGCTGGTCCTTGATTCTGTTAAATGCCAAATCTCACCTTGGTTTTCTCTAGGTGATTATAATTGAGCCGTACTTTGACTGCTATGAACCCATGGCCAGAATGGCGGGCGGGAAACCTGTCTTTATACCCCTGCGGCTGGTGAGTGAGCACCAAGTAATGGGTCAAGTAAGGAAAGGCAGGATACATTTCAAAATTAAGAGCATACTGTAATGATCCTTGCTTAATGACCATTTGTTTAGCAACTGTTCGAAGTTACAACGACACTGAAAAAAGTAACTTACAACCAGTCCTCACACTTATGACCATTGTAGTGTCCATGCAATCACATGATCGCGATCTGGGCACTTGGCAACCAGCTCACATTTACAACGGTTGCAGTGTCCCAGGGTCACGTGATCGCCATTTGCAACCTTCCCAGCTGGTTTCCAGCAAGCAAAATCAGTGGGGAGCCACTTGATTCACTTAATGACCATGGTGATTTGTCATAAAATTGGGTGTGGTCCCATGATGCCTTCTTAACCACCACCCCGCTTGACAGCAAATTTTCCAATCCCTATTGTGGTCTTTAAGTGAGGACTGCCTGGTATTGTGGTATCAACCAAATGATTAGCATCTTCCCCATGAAACCAAGGCACAGTTAGAAAGAGGATGAAAGGGACACATATCCAATTTCCAAGATTGTGTAACTGAACTCATTTTTTCCATGCCATAAGCCTGCTCGTTCAGATGGAGTCTATGTGAGATTTTTGCTTGGTTGGTTGGTAAGGGGCTTCTCATAAGTCTCCACTGGATATCTGGTCCTCGTTTATCCCCCTTGCCTTAGATCTTCTTTCTAACTAGGTCTTGGTTTAATGGGGAGGATGCTCTGATGGGATACCACAAAAAGGTCCACGCGTTCTTGTTCTGCAACATTTTGGAAACATCGATTTTGATGTCCAGGGACAGAGAATCTCATCACACCCGGCTCCGTGGGTTAGTTCTGCTCGGAGTTGATTCTTTAAAGAAAGTTTATCCATTTGGAGTTAGCATACGGTAGTGATTAAAATGCTGGACTAGGCTCAGGGAAACTTGGGTTCAAGCCCATCCTCACCCCTGGAAGCTTCCTAGGTGATTTTGGGGCAATCACTTCCCTCCTGCCTTACCTACTTATAGGTTATGGAGCAAAACGGAACCTCTTGAGCTCCTGGAGAAAGGCTAGACTTCAAAAATGACAAGCAATCTTGAGTTCGGATAGCATAGAAATGGGATTAGTTGGCTGGGGCTGATGGAAGTTATGCCCAGCCTACCTGAAGGGCCCCAGGGTGGAGATCCTTTACCAAGGTCCTTTTTCTCTCCTCCAGAAGGTTACAAAAAGTGGGAAGCTGGCCTCCAGCCGAGACTGGCAACTCGATCCAGCTGAATTGGAGTCAATGTTCACCAGACGAACAAAAGTCCTGGTTTTGAATTCTCCCAACAATCCCTTGGGGAAGGTAATGATGTGTTCTGCTATTTTGAATATGCCAGTGAGGGGGGGGGGGTATATTTAAATAATAACAAGCCCAATTAAGACAGGAATGGAAGGAAGAAGGGTTGAAGCGGAGGAGGACTCAAAAATGCTGCCTTCCTGTCTTCTTTCCCACCTTCTCTAGTCTGAAACAAACGTATATTTAAATCATAACTAGCCACATTCAGACAGGCATGGAAGGAAGAAGAGTTGAAGCTGAGGAGGACTCAAACATGCTGCCTTCCTGTCTTCTTTCCCACCTTCTCTAGTCTGAAACAAACCTCACGCCACCCGTATTTCCAAATATCCTTCCTTTAAATAATACTTCTCCACCCTCTCAAAACCTCACCGTCTCACCTACAGCTTATAGTCCAGCCAGACCGTTGATCCAGACAGGCAATTTGGATTACAGATTGCACAATCATTGTGGTGTGGCAGGCTGATAGGAACTGGCATTTGAAGGGCCTCCTGAGTGCCAGACTGCAGACAGTTCCTACATGCGTACAGTAGGATGTTTCTGTGCTAATACAGGTTGTTCTCACTTAACAACCATTCGTTTAGTGACCATTCAAAGTTACAACAGTGCTAAAAAAAGTGACTTACAACTGGTGCCCAAAGTTACAACCATCCTAGCACCCCCATGGTCATATGATTGCGGTGTGCAGGGTCACGTGATTGCCATTTGCAACCTTCCCTTGTTCCCTTGGGGGCTTCCAACAAGCAAAGTCAATGGAGGAAGCCGGAGTCACTTAATGACCATGTGATTCACCTAACGACCACCGCAAAAAAGGTTGTAAAATCGGGCCTGATTTGCTTAACAACCACCCCACTTAATAACCAATTTTCTGGTCCCTATTGCGGTCATTAAGCAAGGACCACCTGTAAAACCTCGTAGCATGCCATTTTCTGAAATCCACTATGAACAGCATGAAAAGGATGGTTCTGTGCAGTCTGTCCTATTGCTGTTTCTCATTCTGCTTCAGGGCAGGACATGCCACAATGTGTAGATAACCCAGTTCCTCCCCATCCAGGAAGGAGGTTTGATGATTTAAGAATGGGACAAGAGGAACCTGAGAAAAGCTGAAATGACAAAACACTTAAACTTAGACCCTACTGGAAATTTTAATTTGTGAAGCAAAGCCTTTGCAAAGACCAAACCCCAGTAACTAGAACACCCCATATTGGGTGCTCTGGCAGGATGGAGAACAGGACTTTTTGGTATTTGAAGCTTGTCCCATCTTTCCCAGACCAAAAAACCAAAATTATGAATGCTCATACTACTTTTATTATAAGGTTAGAGTAACAGGATCTCGCAAGTCTGCCTTTACGTTCAAGAGAACTAGGGAGGGTCAACTCTGAGACGCTTCCTCCGGTTACAGTTCTGGCCCAGACTCAGATGTCTTTTATCTGACCTTTGTCTTGGTGGCGGCTCTTCTTCCTGTTTCTCTCACCCCATTACCCATCCTTCCTCCCTCTTCTCTTTTTAAACATGTCCAGTGCCTTCCATCTGTCTTCATAAGTCTCTTGATCCTCCGGGTTGTCTTTCTTTGACCCCGCTCCAGTTTTTCTGAATCTTCAAATATGCCTCCAGAACTAGACCCAGGAGGGTCTTGTGGATGCTAAAAAAAATGAAACAATTCCTTCTTGGGTTGTGGTACCAAAACATCCTTTTTTCCAGCTCTGATTCTAGATTGTGGATGGACGTGTTTTGACATTTTCGCCCGCGCAGCACCTTGGATTAAAATTTGACCAGCCCCTTGGATTTATCCTGAATGGTGCAGGGTACACAGGGCGCTTCCCACACTGTTGTGTTTTTCCCACCCAGTTGCATTTCAGAGGGAACCAACTGCATGTCTCTTTGCGCCCTGCAGGTTTTCAGCAGGACTGAAATGGAGCACATAGCGGACCTGTGTGTGAAACACGACGTCATCTGCTTTAGCGACGAAGTGTACGAGTGGCTGGTTTACGACGGAAACGAGCACGTGCGGATTGGTATGGTCAACCTGATTTGGGGATGTTGGGTGCAGTATTTTTCCAACAAACGTTGCCGCCTATACTCCCAATTCTTTACTCTTCCATATGTTTGGATATTTACATGCATCTTTCCAGAACTCAGGCTAACCATGGTTATTTCTAAGCCTCCCATCTTCCTACTCTTCTGATTCCACTTTAAAATGAAATGTGGCCAGTGTGGGAATATGCCTCTGTGTCCATCCATCCATCCAACCTTTATTACGGTCAAAGACCAGTATAAAGGGGGTGGGATACAGTCAATTTAAAAAGCATAGAAAATACGTCAGAAAAATAATAATAAAAAGCTAAAAGATATAAAATAGTCCAAGATATCTTCATATCCCCAAAGCAAATCAGATCCAGAATTTAATTCAACTTGGAAACCATTTTTAGGTGATAATTCTATATATGGGCTTATACCTATCCAAAATGTGGCTTTCTTTTAATAGACTCTTAATTTTCTAGCTCTGAAGGATCTGTTAAATTATATTGTCAGTAGCCCTGCAAGAATTTACTGCAACTTTTAATCTTAGTTAATGATTTATACTGTCCTGACTACTGCTGCTATTTTTATATTGAATTATACCCTAGCAACAAATATCATTTTCAGAATATACTCTGTTCAGTTGCTTAAAACGAATTAATGAAATATTGAAAAAAGCATTATTTAATTCTGTGGTGCTTGCAAATATCCTGGTTAGCATAGTCCCTTTCTGTTTTTTCTTTATTTTTTTCCCTTCTTCTCTTCTTTATCTTTTTTCTTTCATTTTCAAAAATCACAATGTAATTGGAAGTAAATAAATAAAAGGCAGGCGGGGTTGATCCAGGGCGTGAGGATGATTTGCTGACCCCAAAAATGCAAAAATGGATTAGCCAAGCTGAGTGTGCAAAAATGGATTAACCAAGATGAGTGTGCAAAAATAGGTAGCTAAATTGTGCCCAGGGTTACTCAATGCCTATTTGCTGGCTAAAAATGCCTCCTCCCAGACTTTGGGTCTGCTTCATAACACACTTACTGCCCAGTGAAAACTCAATTTACTGGATCGTGATGCCACAAACTTTGCACGCCACGGACCATCTTTCCACTGCAGTTTGTCGTTTCCCTAATGACGCCGTGGTGCATTTTTGCGTGGCGATGCCATTGCCCCGATGATACCCGTTGACGCACGTCGTCATTGATTAATGTCAATTCTTGCAATGCCCAGCTGATTCAACCGACGTGCCTGAATAATTAACCCCTCTGCAACGATCCCGGGGAGTCCCACGTCCCACGCGGGAGAGAGCAGTGGGCCGGTTTGCTAATTTTTTTGCTCTGGTTTACAGCCAGCTTGCCCGGGATGTGGGAGCGGACGGTGACCATTGGCAGCGCTGGCAAAACTTTCAGTGCCACGGGATGGAAGGTGAGGGATCGGCCGTGGCAGCCCCAGCTAAGGTGCTGTTTTTAAATTGGGTGGGGGGCAGGGGGGTCCCTAGCACAGCAGAAGAGGAGGCGGTTTGCACACAGAAAGGTCGTAGGTTCGATCCCTAGCAACTTGCCATCAGTTAAAGATAGAAGGATATAGATATAGACCCATTTCTATTTATTCAAGATCTTTTCATATTGTATTAATTGATTTTAACTGCTTTGTAAACCGCCCAGAGTAATTTTTAACAAGATGGGCAGTGACGAATCTGATATATAAATAAATAAATACAATATGTACCCACCCGCACCCAGATATATAGACCTAGGGCATACCAAAAGTTCAGGCCCCGTAGGCCAATTACCATGGGTTTTATTAATTCATCTTTTTTTCGGAGAAAAAGTTACTGTACTTAGGAACGATCGAAGCTGACACGTCAAAGGAGTAAGGAAGCGTTGAGAAGGAAGTGGCAACCGATTCAAACGTTTCATGTAATTTATATAACGAATTGTCTGTGGGGCCTGGCTTTTGGGACACCCAAATATATTTGTGTGTGTGTGTGTGTGTGTAGAAAATGAGGGAGAAGCAGGGCTGTCAGAAACAAAGAACGGGGGTCCCCTCCTCCTGTTGGCTGCTGTTCGGCCATTGCTTGTCTCAGCCCCGTCCATCATGCGGATCTCTCAAGGAATTCAGTGTCTGATGGAAAAAGGCCCTGCTATAACCTCCGGTTTGCAAACCGGAACAATCTATTTATATCACATGGTAAGCTAAAATTAAACAAACCCCAATTGTGGGTTGGCATCATTTGTGAACCCTGCCCATAGGCTTGCATAGCTGTGGCTCATTGGCAACTTCTTTTTTTGCAAACTGCAGAACTTAGCTGCCGGCTTAAGCATAGAATAGCCCCAGAAGGCCCTCTAAGATATGAAGAAGAGATACTGGGAGAGAGACCAACCTGTGAAATAATTGTATTTCCGTTTCATCTTGACAGGTTGGCTGGGCCATAGGGCCTGATCACCTTTTGAAACACCTCAGAACCGTTCACCAAAATTCTATCTATCATTGCGCCACTGCGGCTCAGGTGAGAGGGCAGCGCCCCACCAAGCTTAAGTGGGGTGTTCACACAACAGGTTTCGCCTAGCTGGGAATCAGCCCATTTACAGGGTTTGCATGGTGGGCTAAACCATCGCCTCAACAAGCCGTCTGGATTCTCGCAACGTGCTTGGCTATCAAAAATAACCAAGGCTAACACGGAACCAAGCTTAGCCCACTTGGTCACTCGCTGAGCTGGTTCAATGGCTGGTATAAATGCAGCCTCTGAGTGAAAGTGGCTTGCGTAGGAGACCTGTGTTCGGCCCGGCTACAGAGGCGCCAGAAAAGGACAGTCCGGTGGTTAGAAGTTGGAACAATTTGTCTGTGAGTGGCTTTTTGTTGTAAAATGAAAGAGACATTTTGGGGAAACTCGATACAGATAATATGGAATGTCAGCCCTTTGAGGCAGACCAAACTCAACCATCAGAGTCATGAATACAAGCAGTCCTTGACCTACGACCATTCATTAAGCAACTGTTCGAAGTTATGACGGCACTGAATGAATGGTGGTTATGACTGGTCCTCGGAGTTCTGGCTGCCTCAGCACCCCCATGGTCACATGAACAGGATCTGGGCTCTTGACAACCGGTTTGCACTTATGACCAGTTGCAGTCCCCCACGATCACGTGATCGCCATTTGCTACCTTCCATGCTGGCTTCCCCAGAAAGTCAACGGGGAAGCGGCAGGGAAGGTCGCAAGTCACTGGGTAAGTCTCCCCCACCGCACACCCTCCCCCAGCCCCTCTGTGCTCGTGCTGTGCCGGCGACTCATGCACCCGCACACTTGAGTAATCTTTGCAAAACTAATTTGATGGATTGTGCTAAATCAGGTTGTCAGGGCCTTAGTGGCTGCCTGCAACCCATAGCAAAACCCTGGCAGAGTCTTCTTCAACAAGATTCTTTGAAAGGGAGATGGGATTACTGTACAGAAATCTTGGCAACCGGGTACGATGACGTTAGCACACCACATCTCTCTAAGGCAGGGGTCCCCAAACTCTCCAGCTCATCGTCCCCTTCATGAAGTTTCAGATTGTTCATCGATCCCTAAACGTTTATGATATAAAAATAATTTAATAAATGCTACTTGAACCAATAGTACTACAAATAACAACAGTCGTAATAGATAATAGCTAACCCTCATCTTCAGGACTAGCAACTGGCATGGAGCTCTACCGAGACCCCAAAAGATTAATTGACCCCAATCAACCTTCCATCATTTGTTGACCACCTATTGACCTCCAGACATTTACTGACCCTCTTTTGACCCCCAGCCATTTGTCAACTCCTTGGATAGTCCCATCGACCCTTGGGGGGTCAATATGGACCACTTTGGGGATCCCTGCTCTAAGGTCAACTGGGCAAAGTTTTCTTGATCTTCTTTCTAACTGCCAGCTGGAGTGCTCGGGAGGTGGCCCCACTTTCTTCCTGAAGGGAGAAGGTGCAGAAGAAACCGCCATCGTCTCTCCTAGGGTCTGAGAAGCCCATTACCCATGATTTGTTCAATAAACCCCCCTTAGGTGGGTTCACACCATATGAAATACACCACCAGTCTTCAGGGATCAGGCACCAAGATTAGTACCCTCACTTAGCTCGCTCCCCCATAATTCTTTCCTTTCACTGTTTGCTTCAGCAGGAAGCTGTGGCCCGTGGACTGGAACAAGAGTTGGGGCGCGTTGGCAAGCCCGACAGCTATTTTGTGTACTTGCCCAAAGAGCTCCAGCGGAAGCGGGACCTCCTCATTGAGAGTTTGGTCTCGGTGGGCATGAAACCAATTGTCCCAGAGGGCACCTACTTCCTGATTGCGGACCTCTCGACGTTTAGTAAGTTTGCCCCCAACCATCTTGCCCACTGTGCCAGCAACACTGAATGCCCTCGTGGCACAACAGGGTTTGCAGAGTTGCGTGGATGGTTGTGTGTTTGGGCTGTGCCCGTTTCTGAGTGGAAAATAATTTATTTCTGGATGGCAGGGGGAGAAACACTGGACTGATTTGGTCCAGAGAGGCTCCGAGAGGAAACATATATGAATGCCATGTTGTTGGAGCGGAATAAGATTTGGATGGGAGACCACTCCCATTTGGATGGGAGACCAAACCCGAGGGCTGTGGGCTACAGCAAGCTTCCCAGAAGAA